GTCCCTCTGGCTCTGCGGCGATGTTTGCTTCTCAACAAATGCTCCTGGCCCAGATTAAAACGGGCTCCTTCTGCTTTATAAACACACTTCAGGTCAGCCAAGAGGTCAAGGATTTGGTGTAAGGAATTACATTAGCAATGCCTTTGTCTACGTTTTAATTAATATTTTGGAGTTTCAAACATTTGGATGCTTGGGATTAGAAGAGTGCTCGGCAAGTCCTGAGTGTCCATAAATAGCAGGTATTCATTTTTTTGTCCTCTGCGGGACACCCATTCGATTCCCCCTTTCAACTTTGTTCGGCATTTTTATACCTGCCCACCCGTGCGCTCTCTCCAAGTAGAGGTATCTTTTCCTTCCCCACTTTATCCCCCCAACTCTTGCTTGTACACAGTAGGCGACCAAGACCTACATACTGAAGGAGTGCAGGGTGTAACGTGCATAGAAATTTCAGGGACTCATTTCTACAGAGGAAACCCATAAAACCGGAAGCCCTGAGCACTGAAGTTTTGTGGAGGTGGCTGGAACAGCCCAGCTTGGCCGTGACCCAGCTTCCCACATCTCGGTTCCAGCTGCATGGAACGTGTTGTGGGCTCCACAGCACTGTTCCAGACGCGAGGCCCCACAGGCTTTCCAATGTGAGTTCCACTCCAGGTTTCGGAAGGCCCGGAATCCGTGGATCCAATGGGAAAATGGAAAATAGGTTGTATAAAGTCTCAGTCAGCTCTGTTGGCTGCTGATGCATCTGGGAGGGACTGGCATGCTCCTCTGGATTCCTGGCTATGAACAGAAAGAAAACCAGAAACAAAATCAAGGCAAGCATCCTGGTGGATGTGGGATGTTTTGTGGCTTGGTCCAAAATCAGAACCAAAAGTGGGAATGAATCTCATGTCCAATGGTCATGGAGTTAGATCTTTTTTTTTTAAGTTTATTTTTTATTTGTTTTGAGAGAAAGAGAGAGAGACAGCAGCTGGAGGAAGGACAGAGAGAGAGGGAGACAGAATCCCAAACGGGCTCCGCACTGTCAGCACAGAGCCCGATGTGGACTCTGTCACAAACCATGAGATCATGACCTGAGCCAAAACCAAGAGTCAAACGCCTAGCTGAGCAAGCCACCCAGGCACCCCTCACAGAGTGAGATGTTTTAAATAAAAATTCTTTGTTGGTTGCTCAGTGAGCAAAGGGGTTTCATGATGCTCAGGGAGGGGGGACAGAAGGAGCACTATTGAATCTTGCCTGGTTGATGGGTTTCGGGGAGCCTAGCAGAAGCTCTCACATAGCCCTGAGAGATAACCAGTGAATCAAAGAAACGGAGGGCACAACAGGAGTAGATTTAGATCATAGGAAAACCCGTCTGACTCACAGAGCGTGTCGTAGTTCGTGCCCGCTGAGAAACAAGTCATTTGCAGGTAGAGTGACTTAACCACCATTTATTGGTGAGTCTATGGGTCAACAAATTCGGTTGGGCTCAGCTGGGCTGTCTTCCCTCCTGAGTATGCATCTGTGCTGAGCTGTAGGTCAAAGAGGTGGCATTGCTTCTGGAGGTTGGCCTGCTATTAGCTGGGCAGTGGGGACAACTGGGCCACTTAGCTCTCATCGTCCAGCAGGCTAGCCGTTTAGATGGTGGCGGCGGGATTCGAAAGGATTCCACGTCTATTGAGACCCGCTCTTAGAAGCGGTATGTTGTTTGTTGCGCTAGTCCACCAACAGTGAGCGGTTAGGGGAGCGAAGCGGATAAGGGATCACATGCTGACGATGAGCGATGCTGAGGGTTTGGAAAGCCAGACATCCCGCTTAGCCTCCCGGCCGCCTGTGAGGAGCAGAGACAGGGCTGAAGAACAGGCCTGTGGGGGGGGGGATGGTGAAGGGGGTGAGCTCGGGACCCTGATCCAACGTTGTTGAGGCATGTGGCTTCAGCGGAGGCCGTAAGTACATGTTAGCCTCAGTTTTTCCCATCTGTAAGATGGGATCACAGTTTCTACCTCATAGGGTTGCAGTGAGGACGAAAGATGCCTTTGGCCTGGCCTGGGGTAGCCCTGGAAAAACAGCCACAATGATGAGTCGCATATGATATCAATCAAGCATCCAAGAGCAGCATGTACTGCGAAAGATAATGAATAATTAGAATTTCCCCCCGGCTAACGAGTTAGGAATCGCTTACCTTAGGAGGCAGAGAGGCATCCCAGGCTTACACTGGCAAAAGCCGGCATCTCCATGAGGCAAATGCCAATCTGGCTGACAGAACTCGCCCCTAGCCACCTAAGGCCTCCATGGTCTCAGGCACCTGCCAGGGCTCTGCGGGATCTGGGGATTTTGTTCCTCATAACAAGTGCCCACCAGGCTCTGGGTAACACAGTAGCCCCGGGTTTGACCTTGACCCCGCACCAAAAGGCCAGGTACTGTGAGGAAAGGTCTTACTGGGGAGGCGAGCCAGCCTCTTAATGGGCCCAGGGAAACCTCTCTGGTCTTGTCCTTGGATCTTGCTGAATGCCACTGTCTCTGGGCAGGGAAACATCAGGGCAGAGAACAGAGAATTATGTAGAGTTTTAGACCAACGCTCTTGAACATAGTCTGTACCTGCGCTATCCAATATGGCGGCCTCGGGACACATTTTGAGCACTTGAAATGTGGCAGTGCAACAAGAGACAGAAGCTTACATTTTAAGTAATTATCTATAGAGCCACTTGTGGCTAGTGGCTACCATTTTGCACAGTGCAGCTGTAGTTGGGTGAGCCTCTGAAGAGAAAGGGCTTTGGGGATGCCAAGCCACACAGCCATCGGGCCTGAGGGGGCTGGGGATGTCATCCGGGGCTGTGCGGGAGCCAGGCGAGGGTGCGGGGCAGGGTGGGCGGGGCTGCAGGCCCTGGGGGGGCCCCTGGCTACGCTGCTTTGGTCCCCCTCCACACCCCTAAGTAGGGCTGAGCAAAGAGAGAAGCCCGGGACTGCAGAAATTCAGAATCCAGCACAAATTTGGCCACTTGGTCCCCTTGCTCTGCTCTGTGTGGGTCCTTGTAGCTCCCAGAAGGGCCTTGGTTCTGTATACAGCCTCATGTGTCCTTGTGCCAAGGAAAACCAGACCTCAGCTGTCCAGTCGAGGAGAAAGGGGGGGGCACCTCCCAAGGAGGAGAGAACGGGCCTTCCCACGTGGGTGATCGCTTTCTAAGAAGAGGGACCACGCGGTCCAATGTGGCTTTTGAAGACGTTACCTTAGCTCTCGCATCCACGCACACAGACACGCAAATACATATGTATGCACACATATGTATACACACACACACACACACACACACACACACACACACAGTTTGTTTATGAAGGAAGTTACTCTTGAAGAGTTGGGACAGGAAGCCCCGTCTGGAAAAATTGGAGGTTTTGCCTCCGCTTTAATTGGGTTCAAAAAGATGACAGCCCAAGTCTGCCTCAGGGTTTGCTCTCGAAACTCACATTGGAATTTATTTCAGGACCTTCCCCAAGTCACAGCAGAACGCTGCTTGCCCAACCGATGGCGGCATTGGCCTAGACGTTTTTTTTTTTTTTTTTTTTTTTTTTTTCTTACTGCCTTTCAACCCCATCAGGAATAAATGCCCCAAACCAATCATCGTCTTTGTACAAAAGCTGGATGAAAAGACTGCTCTCTGCCCACCTCACCCGTCTCTCAATCCCCTGATATTTCTTTAAGTTGGGACTCTATTGCGGGCAAGCATTCTAGTGTCCTTTAAAGCACAGAGGCTTTCTGGATCCTTCGATTAATTGACCGTGGTGGAGACCAGCGGCTCCTGCATGGGCTTTCTGCAGTGGCACGGGAAAGATTAGTTTTCTGCTATCACCGTGATTTACAAGGCTCACATAGCCATGTAACGACTTGGTGATTACATGGAAAATATCGTATAAATACATAGTAATTACAAGTTCATGCAGATTCCTTGGTATATACATTTGAAGTTGCCGAGTAGTTCAAAGATTAATTAGCCTGTAACTGGCAGTATTTAAATCATTTTTTCCCTCATAAACGAATACATTGAGGCGGACTTCAAGGCCGGCGAGGATGGGGACGTGATGAGGACGATCTGAAAAGAAAAAATGAAATTTGACAGGCATGGATTATTTAAAGCATGCATATGTGAGCCGAGCAACCACGACACTTTGATGCAAATCGTAGGGGAAAGAGCAGGGGGATGCTGTGTAGAGAAAGGTGCTGAACAAAGTAAGGATTTCCTGCTGGCGACTTGAAATTTAAACAAATAATCATTTAAATGGCGGCCCGGCATTACGTTCCGAGTTGTGTGCATTAATGTCAACATCTGGTACCAACATTTTGACAATTCTATTAAAATGCCCCAGCATTCCCTATCTAACACCTGTTAGCTCTAATTTTCTTTCCTGAGAAGCACACCAGTAGACAGGGTAGATTCCAAATCATTTATCACTTTTAAAGTGCTTCCATATGTGTGTTGGACCCAGCCTGGCCCTAGGCAAACGTTTTCTGAATGCATTAAAATTCAGGCCTTTTTTTTTTTTTAAGTGTAGACACCAATGTTTCATTGAATTCATGTCTGGTAATTATTAGCTTAAATTATGGCTCACACATGACTTGACAAAGTGGACCATGAATTAAAACGCGCGCACGCACACACACACACACACACACACACACACCCCAGAACTCTTCAGTAGATGTACCTAACTCCTACGTTGCTCGTTATTGAGATGTCAGTCAGTAATCATTAGGCAAACACTCTTCATGGAGGGAACTGCTAAGAGGCCCAGGAGTCCCAAGAGACGATCTAAAAATGTCAAAAATGTTACAGTATAAATGAATGACACCAACAGGAGAACATGTGTTAGAGATGCGAGCAATTAGTTAATATATTACAAGTTTCAACCTCGGAGCAAAACAGGCAACAAAAACTTCCGCTTGACAAAAGGCTACAGATAAGATCAGCTTGATTCCCAGACAATATGATCTGCCTGAATTGGGGCAACCCTCCAGCAGGCTGGGAGGGAGGGATGATCCCGGGATTCGGGGCTTTGTAGGGTTGGAGCCCCCAGACGAGGTCGGTCCCTGCTTTGCCTGGAAAAGGCTGGCTTGGCTGCTGAACTCTCCCAGTGGAGACAAGTAGGGTCTAAAATGAAGGAAGATATCCTGTGCTCCATGGATCCGGCTCACCAAGCTAAGCTGCCTGCTCCCTGCTGGAGCTTCAGAAGGAAATTTAGAAGGTCGAAAGAAATCATATTGCTGTTTTCAAAGGAAAAGAGATGCCTGCAAAAGGTGATGAGGGGCGGGGGCTGCTTCATGGGCGACTGCTTTTCCTTTGCTTGTCAGAGATTTAAAAAACTAAATATTGTACGTTGTATAGTTTCCCTCTCTCTCTCCCCCTCTCTGATTCTTTCCCCTCTCTCTCCCCCCACATACATGTATATACACTATCCATATACAATACACACACACATGCACACATACAGAAAAGATGTTTTAAGCAAAAAATTCCTCCCACATATATACACGTCCAGAAATACATTTTAAGCCAAAGTACACATGATGTGTACTTGGGCTAAGGATTTGAATAGGTCCTGTGGAAATCCCAAGGAAACACCGAGAATACAAGAAAAAAAAATGAAAACCTGAGTTCACCAACTCCATAAATGTAAAAAAAAAAAAAAATTTTGTAGACAGTTAAAAATGTCCGCCCGTGTACACACGCACACCTACACTTTCACACTTCCTCTGTTTACTAAATAACATTTCAGCACAGTTTTCATCTTATAAGGAAAGTGTTTGAAACTTGGAATAAGTGCACTTAATTAAAGGAAGGCTGTGAAAATGTGCACTAATCTGATATGACTAATAGCAAAGTGCATGAAATTGCTAATTAGAATTTCATTAAAGGTGCTGCTTTATCAGACTGTGAATATCACAACCTTTAAAATTCTTTCAGGAGAGCTTAATTCCTTTTCAAACAGAAATATTCTTTAAAGACATTTGATTTGTTCTGAAGGAATTCGTGGCTTAGGCTGGAACTTAAAATGTTGCGGATATTCCAGGAGGTGCTATCAGAATAGGAATATAGATCAGGGACTTTGTTTCATTTGCCTGATGAATCCCTTCCTCCCCCATCTCTATGGATTATTCTTCAAAAACCCAGTCATGAAAATAGAGTTGAGTCCTTGGTTTGATCCACTTGTCATTTGTTTTCTGCTGAGGCCAAATGGTTATTTTCCGTCTCACACACAAAAGGGAAAAATGACTTGAAAAAATTTTCAGCCACTGGAAATGAAAGTAAACCTTTTAACTCACACATTCACTAAAGAAATGAAAGAGCACAGACAATAAAATAGTTTTTTAAGGGAAAAGGCCATTCACTAAAAAAAATGTCAGCTAGCAGCTTTCACTCTTTAAAGAAAAAAAAAAGACCTCTTAAATACTGATAACATTTCAACCACAAAATTGCATTTTTTAAAATTAGGAAAAGCCAGTGCTAACTACAGCAAATGCATTTTCACTCCTTTTTTGACTTGCTTTTTCTAGGTCGTAAGTTTTCTTATTTCACATTCTAATTATTCTCGGCACTAAATCTGCATTTCAGCTTTTCTTTATTTTTTATTTTATTTTACTTTATTTTATTTTTTATTTTATTTTATTTTATTTTATTTTATTTTATTTTATTTTATTTTTTTGCTACTCAGACTTAAAAGTTCTACCTTTCTGGTCATCTTTTCTGCTCTCAACCTTATTTTCTGTGACTCCTCTTCATTTTCAGATGCGTCAAGTTGCTATAGTACACTGTTCTCCCTGCACACAACCCTGGATGTTACCAATTGTATTTCTGTTATTTGCTGTTTTTCCCGATGGTTCCAGAGTTCTTACAATTGGTAACTGGGCTCTTTTCAATATTCAGGCTTGATTGAACAGTTACATTTTGTTACTGAAAAACTATTAATGCTAATGGAAACTACAGCTCACTCGAAGCGGCAGTTTACTTTTACAGAAGTTGTTAAAAACTCAGCCTGGCTTCAAATTTGCTGAACACACAGGTTCCCGGTGATGTAATTTTGCAGAATTGAATATTTTAAATACACTTGAAAAGCGTTGGTTTAAAGGCTAATCAGTCATGTTTACCTGCTGACCAGATCTGAAAGGGGAGGAATGAGAACAGAAGTAACTTTATTTGAGGAGCAGCGTGATTTCTTTAGACATTGAAACAAATCTCAAGTGAGTTAATTACGGTTTGCTCTGATTTTAGGTCCAGCCAGTTCATGGCATTCAGATAATTTATCAACTGGGCTACGTAACAGATAAAAGGTTACGTTTTCCTTTCCAACATTTGGGAGGTGCATTTGTACCGTAAATGCGACGATTTTAAAAGATCGGTCTAGACTTAGATGAATGAAAATGAGGCTCGTTAACTGTAATGTCTGGAGTCCGAGGTGGGGCGCAAAGCAAGCCTTGCTCTCCGTGGGCCGCCGTAGTCAAACGAAGCTGCTAATTCGAATGTTTCAAGTTTCGAATTGAGAAATATTGTTCTAATAGGGCAACAATGGGGCTGCTGTCCCGGCCCCTTACAGCTTGTTTTCTGCAAAACGAATGGCAGGTAATTGTGATTTAATTCTTTTCAAGTAAATTACAGTGAGTGCGTGACACAAAGGCGCGGCGGACCCTCCTTTCTCTGTCAGTAGTTGAATTAATGGTGGCAGGAGTAAAAACAGCGATTGTGCACAAGAGCCCTCCCCGGTCCCCACCCCTGCCAAGGGGGGACCTGCCAATCAGGCCGCGCCACCACGAGGCCGGCAATCGTCGGGATGCGGGGGTTCGCGGATGGACCCTCCTGGTGTCTCGGCCCGGGGGTCGCGGGGCCCGGGGCCGCCCCCTCCCCCCCCCCCCCCCCCCCCGGGCCGCCCCCCCCGGGGCCGAGGTGCCCGCAGGGGTCCGCGTCTGCGCGCTACGGGCCGGGGCGCCCCCCGCTTGGGCGCCCTGGGCTCCGTGCCCCCCGGGGCTGGCCTGTAGAGCCGGATTTGCGCGGCAGAGTTGACGGCAGAAAGGGCTCCCCGGTAACCCGGCGGTGCTGGCCGCCCCGAGAGGCGCCTCGAGGGCTCCCGGAGGAGGCGGCGTGGCCGAGCGAGGAGTGCGGGGAGGCCAATCTTTGAGCCCCGTCTGGGCGCGGCGCTGGATGGCTGGGGTCTGCGCGCGTCCCTGCGGTCGGAGGGGCCCGAGACCAGAGCCGCCGCGCGCGCACCGCGCCAGGTCTCGTCCCCAAACCCATGGTGCCCCGTCGGAAGGGAGGCGCGGGGTGGGGGTGGGGCGAGGGGATGGGCCCAGGAGGTGTGGGGGGGGGGCGCCGGTAGTGTCTGTCCGAAGAGGGGCGCCTGCCCAGGGTCCTGTCCGCAGGCTCACCGCCCGCAGCCTGGTGCACAAGAAGGCTGCCAATAGTCACTGACCTGACCGCTGACATACTATGTGAACTGGTCACTTCCCGTTGGACTTGAACAAAACCCCAGCTCCTTTCCGAGGCCCACGGGGGGGGGGCTGTGTCCTCCAGCTCTTGCCTGGGATCTCCTCCAGTGAACTCTGGATGTGGGATGTCCCCGGGTGGAATCCTGCCTGCCCTGTCCTCCGTGGGTAACTCTGGGCAGGTGGCTGAACCTCTCCGGCCTCAGCCTCCACGACCTAAATGGAGTTGCTAATGGAACCCTGCCTTCAAGGGTCCTCAAGGGCACTTAATGAACTGCCAGTCGAGTGCCAGCATGGTGCCAGGCACAGGGTGCCTACAAATGTTAGCGGGTCTCACCCCACCCCTGCCACATACATGTTTTCCTTTCCTTGGACCTCCCTAAATGAGTCCCTGCCCCAGTGCCTTTGCACTTGGAGGTGGAGCTCTTCCCTTGTTCCCCCGGCTTCTGCTTCAGACTTCAGCCTAGCGGTCCCCTCTGAGACATCTTCGCGACCACCTGCCTTTCCCATCCCACCCATCACTACTGCAAAGGTCTTTGTTTTCTTCCTAATGTTTATCCTGATCGGAATGTTCTTCTCTATTTGCGCTGGGTTTATTGTCTGCCTCCTCCTCAAAGCAGAAGTTGTAGGAGATGGGGATCTTGTTTGTCTCGTCCTCTGCAGGTCCCGGCACCTTGGCCAGTGTCTGCTATGTAGCAGGGGTACTCTGTAAAAACTGTAGATGGGTGAACGGAGTCGCATCTCCCGGCCTGCACATCAAAATAGTTGAACCACCTCGTGTCTCAGTGCCTACTTCTGTCGTTCAATGAGAGCAATTGCCAGCATATTAGTCAGATTTTTTTTTTTTTTTTACATAAAAATAAAGACAGTAATTTTCTGAACGAGGTTCAGGTTTTCGAGAAGGCTGTCAATTGGAGACTTTACTCGGTGTCCTGATCTTTCCACTGTGACTAGTTTTGACCATGAGGCTGGAGTCGGTTCTTTTTTGAGCTCTCCCTGTAGCCCCTGAACCTGGGAACGGACGGAGGGGCCTTCTGGATTGGCTCCCCAGGCCTGACGTCTTCCCCGATGGCCCGGGACCGCTGTAGACCTCCACCCCAGGGCGCAACAATGTCCCAGCCTCATCTCAAGCTACCCGCTGCATCATGGGCCACGGGCCTTTTGTCCTCAACCTCCCCCCAGTCAGAGCTTTTCTGCTCTTTTGATAGCCCCTCTTTGGCTTTAATCGCAGATTCACACCTGTCTTTCGCCCTCCCCAGAGCCAGCGCCTCTATTAGACGGGCTCCCGCTGGGCTTGCCAGGCCACGCGAAGGAGCCAGTGAGGGCCGAGAGAGGCTGGGTGGGGCTGCCTCGGCATCTCAGCTCATGTTGGGGAGATGAGTCAACTGGCTGGGGTCACCGTGTCTCCGTGCCCGAGCTGGAGCCAGGGACAGAGTATTTCTGGAAAGCCCGGCCTGGCTCCCCATCTCACGCTATTTATTTCCTCGGTGAGGTCACGATAAACCATGAGTATCTCGGACAAGGTCACCATCCTTGGCGGCCAGCTCCCATGCCGGGGTCGCGTCTTTGGGAAAGACTTTGAAGACTGCTGGCTCTCCGGAGAGCGGAGGGGGATGGTCTCAGAGCACACACCGAGCTCACCAAGGTCACACAGCCGGAGACGGATGGGGTCTGAACCCGGAACTAGAGCCTGCACTCCTAATCACCACGCTGCGCTGAACCTCTGTCTCAGTCTCTGCCCTCCAGGGTCATGGAGCATCAGGAGCAAAGACAGGAGGGGGGTGAGGGGCTGTGGTTCCCCGCACAGGGTGTCAGTAATGCTACGTAATGGCTCTTCCTAGATCCACCAGGCCCTGTGCTAATTGCTTTCCACACATCACAGCACCTTAAGACGCAGGAAGTCACATCGCCTCCACTTTACGGATAAGACGCAGAGAGGTCCTGCAGCCTGCTCGAGGTCTCGGGGCCGGTAAATGGCAGAACCCCCAGAGCCTCGCTCCGGGGCCCCTGCTCTGATCCCTGCCGGGTGTAAGGAAAGCCTCAGCCTCAAAGTCCCGGTGCCCGGGAGAATGCTGAGCCCCTTCGGTGTCACCAAAAACACCCGGCATTTGGAGCCAGAGGACTTGGCCTCGAGCCCCGGGGCGGCTGCTTGCTAACTGAAACCCCTGGGGAGTCTCCATTTCCTGTAAGATGAGGGTCATGAGGCCAGCTCTACCTGTCTTCCAGGGCCACCGTGAGGATTAACGACGATAATGTCCAGGGACGTGAGCCGTGAAGCGCAAACTGCTGGCCTCAGAAAACATTCAGTTCTGTGGGCGCTGGTCCGCGAGGTCACTGTGGGAACCAGTGACTGGCCTACCTCAAAGATCCTGCCACACGGCCCCGGGGAAAAATGAAGGGGGGGGTTATTTTCATTGCGAAACAAATGACTATAATGAGGTGTCTCGTTTGGTGATACAGATGATTAGAGAATTAAGTCGGTTACAGTCGGGGACTTTTTTTGTTTGTTGGTTTCTTTCTTTTTTTTTTTTTTTTTTTAAACGTTTATTTATTTTTGAGACAGAGAGAGACAGAGCATGAACGGGGGAGGGTCAGAGAGAGAGGGAGACACAGAATCCGAAGCAGGCTCCAGGCTCCGAGCTGTCAGCACAGAGCCCGACGCGGGGCTCGAACTCACGGACCGCGCGAGATCGTGCCCTGAGTGGGAGTCGGACGTTTAACCGACCGAGCCACCCAGGCGCCCCTGTTTGTTGGTTTCTAAGAGGACTGCATTCAAACGCCCCTGGGCCCACACTTGGATTTATTTGGCTTCATGCCAGACCCTGTGCTTGGTGCTTCCTGTGCTCACCCCCCAGGCCTTCTTATAGTCCTGTGATGTGAGACTGACATTGAACCCATTTTACAGGCCGAGCAACTGAGGGGTAGAACAACTGGGGCTAGTGAATGGAGGGGCTGGTCCTGAACCAAGTCGGGCTGACTCCTGTGTCGGCATTTTTGCCACAGTTTCACAGGTGCAGGTGCAGACCTGACGTGGGCGGCGGTGGGGGGTGGGAGGGGGTGGTTCCCTCTGGTCCCTGCTTCTGAACGTTTGGCCTTAGTTCTACCTTTGTCTGGGCGTCCACGTCCCTTAACCTCGGTGCTTTCCTATCCTCCACCCCGCCTTCCTGAGTCTCGGGGTCCGCTGGAGGTCAACACCTTGGCCTCGTCCAAGGCGCAAGGCAAGGGGACGTGCTCTCCCGTCCCCAGGGCCTCGCCCTGTGTGAAACAATACCTCAGAGGGCCAGGGTGGTTTGAGGAGTCGTGGTGTTGCCTTGGTTCCCCTCCACGTCCGCCCCAGATCTGCTCCTGGCCCCATTAACCGAGTTTATTTTGGCTTAAGTGAGGCAGTGGCTGGAGACCGTAAAACACCTACCTTCGTGAAACCATCAGGAGGCTCGAATGGGGTTGTGAAGGTGATGCAGCCATCTTCCACGGGCTGCTGGGCTCGGTCGTGGCTGGTGACACTGCTGGTGTGTCCATGTGTCCTTGGGCGGATTCCCACGGTCAGGCTCTGACTTCTGAGGGAGAGGGGGGCAGGCCTGGGCTGCATGGCGGGGGCACGAGAATGAAGGAAACGCCTTCTCTGTTTGCCTCGACTTCGTGGGTGGCCTCGAGCAACCGGGTGCTGAATGAGTGCACGCACGGGTCAGGGGAGGGCACGCCCACAGAACGGGCATAGTCACTAGGGTCGGGGTCCCTGTGCCCCCGCTTACTAGCTGTGGGGCCTTGGGAAAGTTGGCTAACTTCTCTGTGCATCCATTTTCTCATCCATCAAGCTGAGATAACAGCTGGATGAATCTTACAAGGTCGGTGGGAGGAGCTCATGATGCAACACGTGGAAAAGCCTTCTGAATGACGTCTGGCGCAGAGTACGTCCGTACGTGTTAGCTGACCCCAAAGTACCAGCTCAGAATGATCTTCTCCACTCACATTTGCTTTCCCACTCAAAATGCGTCAGGCACGAAAGGCACAAAATGGAGTGCCTTCAAGACTGTATGGTGACAAGAGACAGGCGTGAGGTATAATTCTGGGCTCCACCGTTCACCCCCGTGTGATCCTCTGTAAGTGGCTTAGTCTCGCGACCTTCGCTTTCCTTCCCTATAAAATGGATATCAAATAAAAGATCTACTAAGAGTGAGGACGAAATGAACAATGTGCATAAAGTTAATGGTATTTCTTCTTCTTCTCTCGATCTTTCTCCCGCCCCCCTCCCGTTCAAGTCCTTTTTGAAAGGCTGTGTGTTCTCCAAACCAGTTTTCCTGCCCTCCTGGGTACCTAGGAAGACTACATTTCCCAACCTCCTTTGCAATCAGGGGTGCCATGTGACCGAGTTCTGGCCAGTGGAATGTGGGCGGGAGTAACATACGCTGCTTCCAGGCCTGGCCCCTGAAGTTTCTTGTAAGATCTTTCATGCACATTTCCTCCCTCCATCTGCCAACTGAATGTCAGTGCTCAGGGTGACCTGGGAACCCCCTGCTGGAGACGGTGGAGCTCCTGTCAGCAGAGACCTGCTCTTTTTTTTTTTTTTTTTAATGTTTATTTTTATTTTTGAGAGAGAGAGACAGAATGTGAACGGGGAAGGGGCAGAGAGAGAGAGAGAGAGAGACACAGGAGACACAGAATCCAAAGCAGGCTCCAGGCTCGGAGCCATCAACACAGAGCCCGACGCGGGGCTTGAACTGCCGAACCGTGAGATCATGACCTGAGCCGAAGTCGGACGCTTAGCATCCTGACCCCGGGCACCCAGCAGAGCCCTGCTCTTCATCACGTACTCTTTATCGGTCTGCTGGGGCTGTGACATGTTGCATTAGGCCATTGAGATTCAGGGGTTGTTACCGCAGCTAGAGGTTAGCCTATCCTGACATATACAGAATCTTACAGAACTTCCACCTAACGTTGGTATACCCCTCCATACATTCATACAGGATTTTGCACCTATTTGAGAGTCTTTCTGGGTCCCAGCTCCCCTTCAGCTGGTCCACGTGTCCATGTGGCCCAAGGTGAGGACCTCAACTGCCTCCAGGAATAACACTCAGCAGAACGTGGTGGTGAAACAGTCCTGGGAACAACTTCCCGGCAGCAGAGAGGTTCTGAAGGCAACTCCCTACTTAAGGTGGCTTACTGGCAGCCTAGGGTCTCAGGGCAGAGGTGTCCCAAGAAAGCATCACTAATCATACAGGCGCTCTCCTTCATGCCACCGATGCCAAAGTGCTTGCTCTCATCCCCGTGGCACGACCAGCAGCTCTGATGGATCACAGGTGACAGACCGGTCAGCAGCTCCTCCCGGCTGAGTCTCTGGGACTTTGCTCAGGGCCCCCATGCCTGCGGCCCTGCCCTCCTGCCCTGGAGCAGACCCGCTCCTTCTGTCCTGCCCCCCCTGTTAAGGTGAGCGCCCCCTGGAGGTCGGGGCTGTGTGGCAACCCTCGCCTTTCTCCTCACAGCGGCTGCAGGGTTGGGGGGCGGCAGGTGTCACTTGTTTTGCACAAGGTTGTTGATTCCAGGGGTCAAGGACCATCGTCATGGCGTGCTAGAAAAGTAAATATTCTCAGCTTGGGCGAAGGTTATATTAATTAAAAATAACATTATTATTACTATATTGAATGTCTGTTCTGTTCCGGGCCCATCTGCTATTTCATTAAATCCTTCCCCATAATCCTATCAGGTGAGTTTTTCATAGCCTGTGTTCCAGGTGGGGAGGTGGAGGCGTAGAAAGGCCAGACCCGGGGTCCACAGCTGCACGAGGTGGTTTACGGGCTCAACCAAGGTCAACCCAAAGGTAATGGGAGCAGACTTTTTCTAGGCCCCCAACGTGTGCTAGGGACCACGTCTCTCAAGTGCTTTTGATGAATTATTCCATTTAATTCTGATAATTTCTTTACAGAGTGGGGACTATCGTTATTCCCATTCACAGGTGAGAACACCACGGCTCAGCGAGGCTAATTTACTCGTTTCCCCAAGGTTTCATGGTTAAGAGAGGAGGTGCCCGGATTCAAATTGCAGTCACTCTTTACAGCCTGTGCCGTCCCTCACTGGGCACCCGGCAATGCCTCCTTCTACCGCGTGGCAAGCACAGTGAGGACCGGGTAAATACTCTTCCAGGGGCTGTGACTTCGGGGTGGGGAACCACCCTCTGGGCAAGTCGACAGCCTGCTTGGGTCAACACCTCCTCTGTGTTGCGCACACTCGGGCCCTAAGCCCCGCGAGGAAAGCGAGAGAGGCCCAGTCTCAAGGCGTTGCCATCCCGGTAGAGAAGAGAGCTGTGTGCCTGCACCTGCTGCTTGAATAAGTCAGTGCGGTGGAAAATGTGGACGGTGCCAACCTCAGAGGACAAAGGGCACCCGGGTAAAGGCAGGGATGGCTTTACCACGGAAGTGGAATTGAGATGAGCGTTGTCTACTTGGATTTAAATCCCAGCTAGCCCAGTGACCTTGGGGTGGTTCGCTAGCTTCTCTGACCCTCAGTTTTGCCATCTGTAAAATGGAAATAGTAAAGGTACCTACCTTACAGGTTGGGTTAAATGGCGTTAAATAATACCATTTAAGGTGCTTGGAATATAGGAAGCTCTGTATTATGTACTTATTTACTCTTTTCATTGTCAAGGACTAGTAGAGCTTCAGTGGGTGAAGAGAGGCGTCACACACCAAGTGAACGCCCTGAGCAAAGCGAGAGGTGTTTTTAAAGAATACTAAGTAGCTCAGTCTGGCTGGTTGATATGGTAGCAATAGAAGATGAGGCTAGAAAGAGAGTCTGGGCTCAGGTTGATGAGTATATACTTAACGAGCAATGGGGAGCCATTGAATGCTGTTGAGCAGGGGAGTTTCACAGCTGGAACTAGGTTCGGCTGCAGAACGTAGGGTGGACTGGAAGGGGGATGATGGGAGAAGCCCAGTGGAAAATTATTGCCACAGGCCAGGGGAGAGGGTGGTGACAGCTAGCAGGGCAAGGAAAGCATGAATTGGCACTCGTGGTAGAGGGAGGTATTGTTAGACACACCCTTGGCTAAGAGCAGGCGTGGAAATGGTGCCCAGCCAGGCCCAACTGAGTGGCTGGGAACCCACAGCAGGGCTTTCCCTTCGCAGGCCCAGGCTTGGGATGCAGTGCCTCTGGGCGTCCCATCATCAGTGGCATCTTTGTGCCAAGAAAGACGTAAGTGAAAGGTAGAGAAATGGGGGACCAGCCTCCTTTGGCCCTGAGAGCCCAGGGCATCCGGTATCCTCAGGGTGGAGGAGCTCTTTGATGGTCCAAAAGCAGGTTCCAGAAGACTCCCTTTGGAAGGGAACAGGGAGGCAGGCTCCTTTTGGGTTCTCCTCCAGGTTTTTGAAGAGCCAAGCAGACTGGTGAGAGCTTCCTGTCCGAGGTGTGTTCTATCTTAACCTTTCCATGTAATCCTGAAAGCCCACCTAATCAATTGAAGATCATAAAATATTAGACTTAATGCTGCAAAGTGCTGCTTTTTAATTCACATAACAAGCTCCTAAATAATTCAAATAGCAAACAGACCCTGCAAGTCAATGGTGGGAGGCTGCTTGGATCAGCGGGAGAGTGTCAGCACATGCCACATTTCCCGGATCGACTCCATTTCAAGAACCCTATTAAGTTAATTGCCGGTTTCTGACAGCAGAGAGCATGCTGGGAGCACAGCGAGCTTTATTAGCCTCTGTGGCATCTGGAGACATCAGCCATTTTGCCCCTACTTGCAGGCGCTGGGAGCAGCATGGAAAAAAGTAAATCAAATTACGAGACAATAAATGCTTTTGGCAACTCACGGGCATCAGACCCATCGGTGAATCCAAAGGGGTTCGGGTGTCAGTTGCTGGCCTGTTAAATTCTTTACAGCGGCACCATCTACACGTTGCAAAAGTCTCGCAGGATGCCACGAGACTTTGGCACCGCACGGCCGACAAGGTGAAGGGCGATGCAGGCGAGGGTTGCCCGCCCCCTGACACCGCTGGGTAAACAGAGTCTCTGGGACGGGAGTTGTTATCCTACGTGGGCAGTGTTACACGCTTAGGTTTGTAAGCGGACGTGCCTGGGTCGGGGGACCCAGGAGGCACCTGTGGCGTTCTGGAGCCGGGCAGGGGTGGGCAGGGAAGGGAAGGCATGTCAAGGCCGCCCGCCATCTGTCCATCCGGAGGTCCCCGAGCAGGGCACCGTGCCACGGCTGCGGGAGCTCCCCGTGGCAGCCGGGGTGTATGGAGTACGGAGCGGGGCGGAACATCCTGGAAGCTTGGAGATCGACCAGCAGGTGCCATTCTGCAGAGCAGCGCTCTGAGCTCTCCAATGCCTGCCTTTGACACATGAGAAAACGCAGGCAAAGAGAGACTCCGAGACTGCCCCAAGGTCACACAGCCGGCCACTGACAGCTGATTCGAGGACGAAGTTCGGTCCTGTTGCGCGACCTCATCCCATTCGTGCGTTTCTCTTTCAGGTATGATGGGGTGATGGCGACGGCCTAGATTCGATCAAGATCAGAGTCCTGGCACTAGCGCTGATTGTCAGCGTGACCTCGGTTTAAGCAAGATCAGTGACTTTGCCGTCTCTCTACCCTGCCGGCAGAGTGAGGACAGGAGCGCCTGCCTGATGGGGTTCCCCTGGCAAAGACTGAATTAGTGACGCGTGTTAAGTACGTGGTTAAGGCCTCATGCTCGGTAGCGAACGCTCAACGTAATTTGCTTCCCATCATCCATAGGAGTAAGGCTCGGATGAGCAAGATTCTTTGTATTTGTAGACGATTCTTTTCCAAGCCGACCGTCTTCCAGTTTATAGGGTTTGCACATCTGAACTGTTTCATCACGTTTGCATAAAGGGAGTCAAACCACTCTCTCAGATCTCTTCTCACCCCCTAGCCTCAGGTCTAGCCTTACTGTCTGCGGAAATGATGTTTCTCCCTGACGCAGGCCGTCAAAATGATAGGGTACGATTGGAAAGAATATCCGAGAATGGCTGGCAGGGGTGAGGAGGGTGGGGGCAAGCTCGGCAGCAGGCGTAAGCGGGGCAGGCGGATTGGCTGTTCCGATCCTGGTTTTCCAGATGCTCTGCGTCACGGGAGGGCTGTGCTTGGATGCTGGAAGGGGTCTGAGGCACGGGGTTTGGCAGCCGCCTTTCATGGGTGGGGAGACTGAGGCCCAGAAAGGGGCAGTGACTCGCCTGAGGTCACAGAGCCAATTAGCGAGGAAGCCAGTGACAGGCACCGCCTCCTCCTTCCTGCTTCTGCGTTCTTTCTAGTGCAGCTGGGAGTGACCTTCGGGACCTTAGAGAGGATCTCACCCTACCTGGGAAGAGGTGGGCCACTGCCATCTGGCCGGAGCCTTGCTCCCCCCCTGCATTCCCAGAGAGGCGATGTGCCGTTGCCCCAACACCTCTCTCCGGAAACAGTGGCAGTTCAGAACCAATCTACAAAAACAGTAAGAGCTATCATTTCTGGGGGTTGAATTCCAGGCACTTTATTTATAGTTTTCTAACCCTTTGAGGTAGGTGTTACTAGGATTCTCATTTTGCAGAGGAGGAGACTGAGGCTTAAGTGTTAAGTGGCCTCCCCAAAGTCACCCAGCTAGCAAGTCAGAGGTAGGGTTCGAACCACGGTTCATTTTGACTTATGTTCTTTTCCTGTGGCAACACCCCACCCCCCTATTAGACTCTGGCTTGTGCTAGAAGTCTCCAGAAGGTGACACGGGGAGAGACGGATCACTCACCTGGGGTCCAGCACTAGCCAAGTTTGGTAGGCGCCCGCCGGGAGGTGTGCCGGACCCTCACCCTGCGCCATGATGTTCTGTCCCCTTCCTGTCCCCCTCCCACCTGTGTCTCCTGCCGAGGACGGATCGGTGGCTAGGGACCTGGGCTCCTCTTCACACACTCATAGCCTCTAGTAACTAAGTATATATACTAGGATTAACAGAAAATGTACCTAACAGAAAATGCAAAGCACAGTGGCTTAAGTGCTAAAGGTGTCCCTCTGATGTGCAAGAGGTCCTGGTATGGTAGCTTCACGATCATCTGGGGCTCAGGCTGTGTCCCTCCACCTGCTCCGCCATTCCCCACATTTGGCTCCTGTCCTCAGTGTTGCAGAATGCCTGCTGCAGCTCCAGCCATCGTGTCCACATTCCAGGTAGCAGGAAGGAGGAAGAGGGCAAAGTGAAAGCGTCTTTCTCTAATTGTCTCTTCTCCCTTCCAGAGAACCTTTCCGGAATTCCTTTCCTAGGAGCTTCTCCTGCTTCACTGGCCGGAACACAGTCGTGTGGCCACACCAGGCTGTGGGACAGGACGGGAAGCAGGTTCTGTAACTGGGCGCATCACTGCCTCAAGACCGTGGACGCTTGTGAGTGAGGCAGAATGGGTGCCGGGGAACCAGACTCTGCCACAGCACAACTGGGTCACCTCGCCCACTTGCCAAAGGGCGGATGGCGGAGAGAGGTGGCGTTTTGAGTGAGAGAAAACTCAAGCCACCTTTGGCGAGAATCTTAGATGCGCTCTGAGATAACTGGAAATGCCACAGACCTAGGGTTGCAACCCCTGTGCTTTCTGGGGCTGTTTGTTCTGGGGACGGCCACCATGATGGAATCAACGGTACTTCGCACCTGTCAGCGGCTTGTCCCACACGGTCCCTTTTCAGAGCGTGGATAAGTTGTATTTCTCTGGATGTCTGCTCCTCGTGACACATTTATCCTGTGGGTCTCCCGAGGTGGATTGGAGGAATGGGTTTCTTGGTCTGCAGGGTGCTGACGATCACCGGGCTCTGGAAGCGAACACAGATGTCACTGTGCCAGCTCTGTCTATGTACCAGGGACTATACACGTGGCAGGTCCCACCATCCTGACAACAGACCTACGGCCAGGGGGACTCTGATCCCATTTTACAGATGCAACGTGAAGGCTCAGAGAGGCTAAGCGGCTTGCCCGAGATCACACAGCTGGTGCTATGGACTGAGTGTTTATGTCCCCCCGACCGCCCAACACCGGCCCAAATGTATATGCTGCAGCCCTAATCCCCAGTGTGGTGGTGTTTGCGGGGTGGGCATTTCAGGGGGTAATTAGGTTTGGATGCGGCCGTGAGGGTAGAGCTCCCATGATGGGACTGGTGCCCTCATGAAGGGGCGAAAGGCGCTGAGCTTTCTCTCCCGCTCTGCCGTCAGAGGACGCGGTGAGAAGGCAGCCGTCGACAATCCAGGAAGAGAGGCTTCACCAGAAACCAGCCGTGTTGGCGCCCTGACCTCAGACTTCAGCTTCCAGAACCGCGAGGAACTGATGTCTGCTGTTTAAGCCACCAGGCTGTGGTGTTTCTGTTATGGTGGCCGAGCTAAGACAGCTGGTAACTACTGAGAGCCCAAGGTTGTTCTTTCTCCCGCCCTCTGCCCCGACACTGGGCGCATTCCCCAAACTCGCCCTCACTCCCCTTGTGGGTCCTGGCTCCTATGACCGCGGGGACATCACAGAGACCTCCGGGCACGGGCTGTGGTCTAAAGGTCCTTCTTGTCTCCCCTCCTCCTCCTCTTTTCTCCTCCGCTCCTGTCGTCTTAGAAAGACCCCTGTGGGGGCGCCTGGGTGGCGCAGTCGGTTAAGCGTCCGACTTCAGCCAGGTCACGATCTCGCGGTCCGGGAGTTCGAGCCCCGCGTCAGGCTCTGGGCTGATGGCTCAGAGCCTGGAGCCCGTTTCTGATTCTGTGTCTCCCTCTCTCTCTCTCTGCCCCTCCCCCGTTCATGCTCTGTCTCTCTCTGTCCCAAAAATAAATAAAAACGTTGAAAAAAAAAATTAAAAAAAAAATAAAATAAAAAAAAAAAGAAAGACCCCTGTGGGAGTCCAGCCCCATCACCTGGCCCCCATGTGGGCCCGGGTCAGTCACGTCTCCTTTCTGGGCCCCACGTGGCCCCGGCCCGGGGCCCAGCCCCCTTCCCCAATCTGCACTCACACGCAGCCCTGTGGAAATGGTGGCGCTCCCCACATTAGGACCCACGTGTCTGCTGGCTGGGACCAAGTGTCATAAATAGGAATAAAACTTAGGCTGTCCTTGTCCCCATCTCGGTGAGTGAAGCCCCCGAATCTGAGGACAAAACCAGAAGCCCTCTTCTTTGAGCCCCAAGGGACAGGAAGGGCTGTGTGTGCGGCCGAGGCCCTGCTCTCCGCCCCCCCCCCCCCGACCCCCCGGGTGTCACAGGCTTCCATATACATAATCTAAATATATGCTTTGGAAATTGAAAACGTTCACATATAGAATGCGGCTGTGGGGAGGGAATGCTCTCTTGGAACATGTCTCTTTAAAGACAGAATGTGCCCAAGTGTTTTCCTCCCCTTAAGGAGACACTTGAACGTGGCAGCAGATGTAAAATGGAAATTGAAGTGTCTCTCCCAGGCCACCGTACACGGAGAAAACAGCGCAATCTATTCTAAGCGCTCGTTAATAGCTGGTCTCTGAGGGCCCCGGCAGCAGACCGAGGATTTTACTCATTAACAAGGTGACGAGGTAGCGTTTTGTGCCTTCCCTGCTTGTCACTGCGTGATGCTGGTGTTCAGATGTCGCTGGCAGACCCCAGATGAGTGCCCCCGGCTTGCGGGCATGGGTGACGATGTTCTGAAAGGCTTGAAGGCATCCCCCACTCACTGATGGGGCCACAAGCCCTTGCTGTTTATCAAGTGGATTCGTCTCTCTTCCGAGGCGGGCCCACGATGGCATTGTCTCGAGAAGGAAGCAGAGAGAAGAGCTTTAGCTCATCACCTAATACGAGATCATTGGTGATTCCCAACACGGTCTTCCAGATGGCACCGCGAAGGACCCGGAGCCTCCAGGCGTGGTCTGGGGCAGGGGCCTGGGGTCCTCAGTGAAGTCTGGAAGGGGCCGGACCCTTGGCAGTCGAAGGCACTGGCTGAAAGACATCTCAGCCGTGCCCACTTGGACAGGGGCCGCTGGTTTTAGAGAAAGGGGCTTCTTGGCTCATTTTTTACCCCTACTTTTTATTTGTTCTTTTTTCAAAGTTTATTTATTTTGAGAGAGAGAGAGAGAGAGAGAGAGAGAGAGAGAGAGAGAGAGAGAATGTGCTTGCACAAGCAGGGGAGGGCCAGAGAGAGAGGGAGGGAGAGAATCCCAAACAGGCACCACACGGTCACGGCAGAGACCCACGCGGGGCTCAAACCCACGAACCGTGAGATCGTGAGCTGAGCCAAAACCGAGAGCCGTTCGCTTAACTGACTGAGCCCCCAGGTGCCCCAATTTGTTCTGTTTTGGGTCTCCCACTGTTTGGATCAGTGTTTTGTCCTCTCCTCCCTCCCGTGTGAGGGGAGTGACATCTGGTTGTCCCCACAGGCACATAGGGAGGGGCAGTTTCCCAGGCATCCTGAGAACTGCTTTTCTGCCCCCAAACCTCTCAGGTGGAGACAGGAATCCTCACTGGCCTGGCCTCCGGCATCTTCCACGTGAACCCTCTTTCCTGTTCTGGACTTTCGGTGTTGTTTTCCTTGACTTTTGCTTCCCCTGCCCTTTCCACAACCAGCTCTGAGGTCACCTCCTCCGAGAGGCCTTTCTTGATGTGTCCCTCCCCCCTCCCCCTCTGCTCATTGTTATACAGGCACAGTTTGCAATGAGCCTGTTCACTTGGTAGCTCCCTTGCTTATCGTGGCCTCCCCACTCTACGGGCTTGGGTCCAGCGGGGCCGGGGGGAGGAGACACGAACCTTCCTGGTCTTGTTTACCGGACCCCCGGTGCTCAGCTCGGTGTCTGACCCGAAAGAAAGGTACTTGATTTATTGAATGGGCGAACAAACAAAGGAACGCGTGAGGGGTTCTATGATCCCAAAGACTGACTCTGGGTCACCCTCGGCCAAGAGCAGCCCTT